CTAAGCCTAAAGAGCAGTGGAAATGAGGGGCCCACAGGGTCTATTAAAGCTTCAAGATACAACAGTAATGGAAGAATTCAATGGAAATAGAGTCAGGACCCCCTAGGGGTCCTACTCCGTGGCCTTTAGGCTAACGTTTCTAAAAAATCTAGTAGCAAAACCTGTTTGTCTTTTGTTAAAATGCAGATTGTTTCAGTAGAACTGGGGGAGGGCCTATGAATTTTTATTAGTAATAAGGTCCCAGGTGATTCCAATTTTGCAGGTCCAGGGACCATTTAATGAGAGAGGCTTCAGGGACTTTGTTAACTACAGTGGGGCCTTGACTTAGGAGTGTCTCGACTAACCAGTTTTTTGAGATACCAGCTGTCTCTCAGCCGATTTTTTGCATTGAGTTGATAGAGTAATTTGAGTTAACGAGCTCCTTAACGAGCTCGGCCTCGGAACGAATTAAACTCGTAAGTCAAGGCCCCACTGTACTCTTGTTTCTTCAAGTGTGAAACCAAGCTGCTGCTCAGAAGACTGAGATCAAACATCTTCATAGCTAGATGAGCACCTTTCCAAAAGGCGGAGATTCACACTGCCCAGTCCCTGCTCTCTCCTCATCCTCATCTGCTGTGATGGTCTTAGGGTTTCAAAACATATTAGGTGAGTGATATTTCCCTATCTTAAACCAACTACTTTTTAAAAAAAAATTTTATTGACTTTAGAGAAAGAGGAAGGGAACGGGAGAGATAGAAACATCTATGAGAGAGAAACATCCATTGGCTGCCTCCTGCACGCCCCTACTGGGGATCCCAGCCTGCAACCCATACATGTTCCCTGGCCAAGAATGGAACCCTGACCTCCTGGTTCATAGGTCAATGCTCAACCACTGAGAAACACTAGCCAGTCTTAAATCTGTTTCTTATCATAACTGTATCACTGTATCACACTTTTTATACAGACCTTTAATAATTTGGAGCCAAGCACTGAAGAAATTGTTTTTCTTTTGTTTCTTATTTTAAAAACTATATGGAAATCCCCATTTTCCCTATAGTTTTTAAAATAAAACTATAGTATTTTAGTACTTTCATTTTCTCCTTGACACTGCACTTGATTTTCACTCTGAGGGGACTGGCCTTTCCATCTGCCAGCCAAACAGTTACTCATCCTTCAAAACCTAAATATCATTTTGAAACTTTTCACACAACTGTTTTACAAGATTCTCACAGTATCAAGATGATAAATAAGTTATTACTTCATTTTAAAGTTGCCCTGAATATAAAGCCCAGTTGGAAAATTTACTGGAATTGTAGTTGTCAATAGTTGAAAATAGAAGTAGTGGTGTTAATGATTACTATTTGCAAATTCTTATGCATTGATACATTAAAAGCATCTGCATCATTTTCAGAACTCTATATTTTGGCATTACAAGTGGGAACTTAGCTGGATTTTTACACTAGTCACTGCTATGATATTGTTAGGGGCAGAAATAGAATAGTGGGGGCTAGATGTAGTTATAAGAAATATTAATCATGCTCTGTTAACTATGATTGTTCTGTTCTGATTAGAGAAAGCACATTCTGACCTGGCTGAGAGTTGTATGCCCCAGGACATGGGAGTTAACCTCTGAATGTGGTCCATTCTTCTTTTTTGAGAACTTCCTATCTTCATGGAAAGATTAACAAACTTGTTGCCGAAACAATCTGGTCCCTGAGTCACCCACCCTTTGGGACCCCCAGACCCATTACCTGTAACCTGTATCCATTATACCTTGTATACCTTGCCTACTTCCCCATGCATGTAATTCCTACTTTCCCATGTAATCTTTGTCCTTCTACCCAAT